GCGTTGTGGGGGAAGGCCCCGTAGTGGCAATGCAGTGGGGGTGCCAGCGTGAAGATGGGGTCCGAGGCCATGCCGAGGGCCACGAAGAGCACGGGCAGGCAGCAGAGGCCGAGCTGCAGCTGCTGGCCGCCGCCCAGCGCCCCAACCTGGGCGAGCAGCGCCTCAAAGCTGAGGGGGCCGGGGGGCACGGCCAGCGACAGGCTGCTGCCCATCCCGTCGCCGTCCGCGTCGCCCTCCCCCTCCCGCTCGCGTTCGCGCTCCCGCTCACCCTGCAGCTGCTCCGTGGGCACCGCATCTCCGAGGGTCCCGACCTGCTGCTGGGGGGCGGGGGCAAGGGCAGGGTGAAGCGAGACACCGCAGCGCTAGGGGAGTGGACATCGGGGGCGAGGGCAAGGACCGCGGGCGGGGGGTGGTGCGCGGGAGGAAAAGGCTTAGCGCTTGCGGGGGCCGAGGTACTGATGGCGGAGCCCCCCGGGGCACGGGCACTTACTCCGTTGGGGCTGGGGGTGATCTCTACTGTGCTGTCAATTTTGCTGCCGCCCCCGCCATTGGGCTCGGGCGTTCCGGTGGCCACCCGGGGAGCCAGCTTGCCGACCTTGGGGGCCCTGTTGGCCCTCCCCAGAAGGATGCGCTGTCCTCTGTCCCAGTTGCGCACCCGATGCCCGAACACAGAGTCGGGAAAGACCCCGCTTTGCAGCTCTGCAGCCGTGCAGCTGTGGCCGCCTCCTTCGTCTCTGAGAATTGTGCGCAGCTGTCCCCTCCCCTTCCTCCAGACTCTCCTCCCCTTCTCACGTCAGCAGAACCTTCGGTCCAGACTCTCCGTCAGAGAGAGGAAGGGGGGCCAGGGCCCATGGGAGGGAGGGGATGGGGCTCTGTTTTCTGTTCCGGGTCTGCGGGCCATTGCGGTAAAAAGGAAAAAAAAACTGGAAGGATAGGAGCTAGCCCAAGGAGATGCCACCTTTGATTCCCGCTCTTCCCAATCATTCATCCATCCATACATCAACCTACTCATTCGTCAGTAAAATTTATTAAGCGTCTTCTATGTGCCAGGCCCTGCGCTAGGCTTTGGGGATAAGAGAGTGGACAAGACCCACTTTGGAGGAACTTACTGGGGAAGATAGACAAGTAACCAGCAATTATAGTACAGCAAATGCATATGGAGGACTGGCTGGGCACTGTATTCAGCTCTGGCTTCAGTCCTCTACAAGGAGACCATTTCTTTGTGGCCACCACTCCCACCCTGGTTGAGTCTCAATGATTTTTCAACAACATTTGGCCCTGTCGACCACCCCTTCCTCCAAATACTTTCTCCCAAGGCTGCTAATTACCACACTCACGTGGTTTTCTCTCTCATTCCTCTTTTCTCCACTGCAGGTTCATCCTCTTCTTCCTCACCATCATTCAGTACCTGCACACCTCATAGGCTTGATCCTAGGCCCTCCTCTCATCTCACACTATTCTCTCTGCCTTAGGATCTCACCCATGCCCATGGCACCAATACAAACATGATTCCCAGATTTACATCTCCAGCTCCCACCTCTCTTCTCAGCACCAGACCCATGAAGCCACCTCTTATTCGACTTCTCACCCCTTGGGTGACTCACAGGAACCTCTAACTCAGTATGTCTAAGACCAAGCTTATGTTCTTCCCTCTGTAATCTGGTTGTGTTCCAGTGCTTTCCTCAGTGAATGCGACCCTCATCATTCAGTTGTGGCCAGATGATTAGGTGACAGCCCTTAGAGCTTCTAATCCTTACAAAAATCCTATACATTTTACCTCCTAGATGTTGTTGTTAGGTGCCGTCAAGTTGGTTCCCGCTCATAGTGACCCAGTGTACAACGGGATGAAACACTGCCTGGTCCTGCGCCATCCTCACAATTGTTGCTATGCTTGAGCCCATCATTGCAGCCACTGTGTCAGTCCATCTAGTTGAGGGTCTTCCTCTTTCTCGATGACCCTCTACTCTACCAAGTATGATGTCCTCCAGGGACTGGTCCCTTCTGATAAAATGTCCAAAGTACACGAGACAAAGTCTCACTATCCTTGCTTGTAAGGAGCATTCTGGCTGTACTTCTTCCAAGACAGATTTGTTCATTCTTCTGGCAGTCCATGGTCAATATTCTTCGCCAACACTGTAATTCAAAGGCATCAATTCTCCTCTAGTTTTCTTTATTCCTTATAGTTCTTGGATATTCCTCTTCTCTCCATCTCTACCACTATTAGTCAAGCTACCTGTTGCATGGATTTCTTTATCCCCCAAATTCCTAACTGGTGTTCTGCATCTGCTGTTTCCACCCCTCCCCATCTGTTATTTCCAGTGTAGACGGAACGATCTTCTCAAAATGTAGATCTGATCAGTCCCTTTCTTGCTTAATGGCCTTCAATGGCATCTTCTCACCATCAAGGTAACTATCAGTATTCTAGACACTTCATACATGGTCCTGCGTGCCTGGTCCTGTGGTCCCTGGGGCTCCATCTCTCACTTCTCTTCCCCAACTCTCTGCACTCTAGCCACATTGGCCTTCTCTCTGTTCTTCCAATGCCACAGGGCTCTTGCACAAATTGTTCCCTGTACCTAGAAGGCTTCCTCTCCCCCTAGTCAAATTCTCCTCATCCTTCAGCTGTCAGCTCAAGCATCTTTGTTTCAGGGAAGTCTTCCCTAACCCATAGAATTGCTACTCAAATTTTAGTTCACAGAGCAAGAGTATCTGTATTACCTAGAAGCTTGTAAGAAATTTAGAATCTTAGGCCTCACCCAGACCCACTGAATCAGAATCTGCATTTTAACAAGATCCCCAGGTGTATATATGTGGACATTGGAGACACGTTTCTCTAAGGGACTTGATGCCTGATAGACACTTTATTCTCTAATTCCAGGTAAGTGCTGGAAAGAAGTGCTCTGTTAGTTGCCTGGAATTCCATTCCCTCCTCTCTCCACCAAACCATGTATTTAATGTCTCAGAATTTTCCAAATTTGGGGAAACTCTTTCTTTCTAATGCAGCAAGCACCCTTTCCCCCACTTCTGTTCCCCCAGCTCATTTCGGCATCTCTTCAGAATTTACTACCATGCAACGTTCCTTGGGGATTAATTTGCCTGTGTCCTTGTCTTTGTCCTGGAAAAATAATCCCTTAACTTTTTGTAGTGCTAGGCTCTTCACATGTATTATCTTGTTAGGTTCTCACAACCCTGTGAGACATTTCTGATCATCCTCACCTTAAAGATGAAACTGCGACTCAGAGGGACTGACATGATTACCACAGACACATAGGTACATGGCAGATTAGAGACCCAGACTCTATATAAGTTTAGACTTAATCTCTTTAGATTCTTTCTGGAAGATGACGGGGTATGGCCCCTATTATAAGTCTTCAACTCATAGAAGTGAATTTTGGGGGCCCAAGAATCTGGAAATGAGTTTCCCTTTGAGAGTGAAATGAGAAAGAAGGAACCAACAATGGACAAGGCAAATGTGTAGGTGTCTCAAGAGACTAAGATTGTGATTGAAATTCAGAATGCTTCCAATACAATCATTGTGCCAGGATATCATCTTGGGAAAGTAGAACTGAAGCCAATAGATCTGTGGCTCAGACTTCTTCCTCCTTGGTAATATGACTGGAGTGATCCCCCTCCCCCTCCACTGATTTCACCAAAGTGAGACTAGGTGACAAAGTGGACTATAGACTTCCAACATACTGGATTCGCCTGCCACCTCAGCAACTCTAAAAGATGGTTTGTCTAAAAGCATGGTCACAGGAAACCTGGGGAGCTCAGGGGCTAGACTGTCTTGGGGCTACCTAAGGGAGACGGTACCCAGGCTGGCCAGTAGCACTTTATTGGCCAGAGCTGTCCTATGGTGCAAAGCTGAAGACAGGCCTTTAATTGGGGTGACCACTCCAAGATGGCACCTTTTGAGGCTATGCTGTGGCCAACCTCTCTTGTCTGCACCTCTCTAATGACGTGGTTTAGGTCTTAGAGGAAGGCCCCTAAGTCAATGTCTGCCTTCCTGGAATGCTAGTCATCAGGTTCTTCTTGGTTCTCTCACCGTCCAGGTCTCAGCTCAGATATTACCTCCCAATCATCCTATCTAAAGTCTCCTTCACTGTCCTCTCCTCCCCAATCTAGTCTCTTCACATCACCCTATTTATGTCCATCACCAGCAATTGTCAAATCTGTGGTAGGTTCATTTTTTTATTTACTTATTTTAGTTGATTCATTCATGTTTGTCTCATTCCTACTAGAATGGTACACTCACAATGTACCTTCAGAATTGTGCCTGGCACATCATCGGAGCCGAGTATTTGTTGAATGAATGGTTGAAGAAACAAGCAAAAATTTTCCCCAAACCCTAAAGGCACTCTGCTCATACTGTGTACCTCACAAGTATGGCCAAGGGGTGCCCCCAGGCTCCCAAAAAGCAGAGCCAGTGAATCAGACAGCAGGGTTTATTGAGGTGCACACCCAGTTCCTGAGGCCCAGCCTTCTCCGGCCTTCTGAGGGAGGAGGCCTCTTCCAGACAGTCACATTCCAGGTCAATGTTCTGCATCCCCACTCTCAGCAGAGTGAGGCGCTGATGGTCTGGGGCCAAGAAATATAAGCAAGAGAGGGGGGTCTGTGTGATCCTGGGTTTTTGCCACCTGATTCTCTGTGGGGCTAAACTTCTGGAGGTGGGTGGCAGTGCAGTGGCCAGGAAACATCCGCCCCAGGCTGAGGAGAGGAGGAGCGTTTGGTTCCTCCCTGCCCCCTGAGGGCCTGGTGCCTGCCCCTGACAAAGCAGGAAGAATATTAAATATAAATAATTTATACAAAATGGCTTGTACAAAAAGCTGTGGGTTGGGAGAAGAGATGCCTCTCTGAGAGGCAGAAATGATTGGAAGAGGCAATAAGAGCAAAAAGATACCTACACCCCTTCTAGTCCTTGAAACAGAGCCCTCCAGCCACCAGGGTCTGGTGGGTGACTACGGCAGGCAGGGGAGAGGCAGAGACACGCCCAGGGACCTTCAGGGGGCCAGGCTGGTAAGCAGGGTGGAGAATTGCAGGGCCCGCCCCACCAGCTCTGCCACACACTGTGCCATCTCTTGGGCGGCAGGGCCGGATGGGTAGCCCAGTGCGGCCCCTTTGACAGCCAGCACGGTGGCCCGCAACGCCTGGCCCAGCGCTGTGCCTGCAGCCCCGACCTGTGCTCGCAGAGGGTCTGAGGCTGCCAGCCGGTCTAGAGCATCTCTGACAAACACCAGGCGGTGAGCTGCCACCACCACCTGCTTGCCGTGGGGCACGAACAGGTTAGGGGGCTGATTGGCCCGGGTGCTGGCCATCAGGGCTGCCACGGCCGCCTGCAGCGCTGAGTAGTGGCTCTGGCACTGCCCTGCGTAGAAATGCAGGAGCTGTAGGTCTCTGGCAGGCAGAACCAGCGGCTCTCCTGGGGACTGTGCATCCTGAGGGGTGAGAGGGGTGGTCAGTGGGAAGGCTCCCATTAGCACCACTTGGTGGGTTGCTCGCTGTCCTGCCTTTCTTCTTCCCTCCCTTTATTCTTCATTCCTTCTTTTCTTCCTGCATGCAATCCCTTTAGCTCTTACCTCTGCCCATCAGAAAATTTAGATTCTCATAGAGAGGACAGTGAAAAACTCAGACTTGATGTCAGATAGATCTGAATTCAAACAACCTCAGACTTGACTTCAGACGAGTCTCTGACCTTTTCTGTTTCCTTATCTCTAGAATGGGGATTCTAGCACTGCACTGTCCAATATAAATAAAATGAGAGCCACACATGTAATTTTAAATTTTCTAGTAGTCACATTAAGTAAAAAGAAACTGGTGACATAAATTTTAATAATATATGTTATCTAACCAAAAATATAAAAAAGGTATCATTTCAATATTTGATCAATAGAAAAATTATTAATGATATGTTTTATTTTTTATACTAAGTCTTCAAAAGTCTGGTGTGCATTTTATATTAACAGCACATTTCAATTCAAACTGAGTGTCCAATAGCCACATGTGGCTAGTGGCTACCGGACTTAATAGTGCAGTGGTACCTACCTCATAAGGCTGCAATGAATATTACTTGGGGTAATATATAGAAAGAGCTTAGAACAGTGCCTTGAATACTGTAAGCACCATATGAATATTAACTATGACTTTTTTTGGGGGGGGCTTTAAAGAACAGGAATTAAGTTTTTCACAGTTCAGGAAGCTAGAAGTCTGAATTCAGGGCATTGGCTCTAGGGGTTGGTCCTTTTCTTTTTTAAATATTGTAGTAAATATGTATATAATAGAGCCCGGGTGGCGCAGTGGTTAAGAGCATGGCTACTAACCAGAAGGTTGGCAGTTCGAATCTACCAGCTGCTCCTTGGAAACTCGATGGGGCAGTTCTACTCTGTCCTATAGGGTCGCTATGAGTCAGAATTGACTTGACAGCAACGAGTATGTATATAACAAAACATTTGCCATTTTAACATTTTTTTATATGTACAATTTACTGACATTACTTAGGTTCATCGTGTTGTGCAACCATTACCACTATCTGTTTCCAAATTTTTCAGTCACACGTAACGGAAGAAACTCAGTGCCCCTTAAGGAACGGTGCCCCTCCCCCTCCTTCCAGGCCTTGGTAACCACTAATAAACTAACTATGATTATTATTAATGTTGATGCATGTAATATGCCTAGCACAGGGTCTAGCACTTGATAAATGCCTGATAAATGGTAGCTATTATAATTGACAATTTTAGACAGGGTCTAGGAAACCACCTCACTTTCCAGAGAGATTAAGTGACAGCTTCAGAGCCCTGGTTTCTTAGTGGTGCAGCTGGGATTAGGACCCAGGTCTCTTAGGAACCCAGGAATTCCCAGTTGGAAGGAGCCTTAGAAGTCGCTCAGCCCAGCTCTGACCCATACTCTTTCTGCTCCCCTGGCTGCCTGGCTTTCTGACTCCTCTCCAGCAAATTCTTTCCCAGCTTTCTGAATTCCTGACATCCTCTTCCAAGTTCCAGCTCCTTCCTACTGAGTTCTAACTCCTCTCTGTCTGTCCCCTCTCATCCCCATCCTAATCCATTTCCATTCATGGTTTAGTTAAGAATTCTCCTTCTCCCAAATTCCTGTTCCCCCTTCCCTAGACCCCCTTCTCTCAAACCACCCCCACCAAGGTTACCTGCTGCTCTGGCAGCTCCCTCTCCAGCAGTTCAGGATCCCCTGGGAAATCCGGGTGCCTAGATCCCTGAGCTTTATCCATGCCCTGCAGGAGGGGATCCAGGTCTCAGCACAGGGGTCATGGCCTCAGTGGCCTTTTTGCCCCTCCCTGAGTCCCGTTCCTTCTGGGGACTCCTGTGTCAGAGGGCTGAGGGGCAGGAGGGTGACACTGGTACAAGTGGTGTGGCCAAGTACTGGGGTCCCAGGCCTCAGGGTGGAGGGCTAGGGCAGGGAGGAAAGAAGGAAGAGGAGGGCTTGGGGTCTGTGCCCCAGGCCTCTTTCCTCCTCTTCCTGGTTGTCCTGGGGTGTTCCAGGTGGGGCTGGCCCAGAGGTGCTCACCTTCAGGTGGACGTAGTCATACTCCTCTGCCATTGGGATGCCCTCATACTCATTGTGGTGGCCCTCTGGATCATCCTCCACATGTCCGCCCTCTGGATCCCCTTCAGCCTTGGGGGCCCCACAGCCAGGCAGGTGGGGCGGGGGCGGCGGGAGAGGCCGGTCCTGGATGCTGCCCTTTCGGTCTGGGGCAGGAGAGGGTCTGGGTGCCTCCAGGACAGGCAGGGCAGGCAGAGGGCGGCGGGACAGGCTCTCAGCTGAGGGCAGCCAAGGCCTGTGTAGGGGTAGGGGGCTCCTGGCCAAAACCAGGGGCAGAGTGTCCAGGTCATTGGAGGCTGAGGCTCCTAGGGGCTCCGGGGAAGGGGGTTCCTCTGGCCCCAGCATGGGCACATCGTAGATGCCCTCATCAGGGCCCCCACCCTCCCCCTCTGCCACCAGTTCCTCGGGGGCTTCGTACAGATTGAGCAGGGCTGACGCTCGTTTCAGGTTGGAGGGGGCAGCATAGAGGGGGGGCCCTGGTTCCCGGCCTCCCTCCCACTCCAGATCTGCCGGTGGCTTCAGGGTCAGAGGCACATCATAGGGAGCTTCATCTTCTCCAGGACGCTGTGGGGCCATCTGGGCCAGAGGGCGGGAAAAGGAGGCAGGGGAGTCATAGGGGCCAGTGGAGGGAACCCGGAAGGTAGTTGGGGGCACGTCATAGACCTGGAGAGAGGGAAGAGTTGTTATCCTTCAGGCTCAGTGATGGACCCTCCCCGGGGGCCCCCATTTGCTCCCCATCCACATACACACGGGTCTCCAGGCCCAGGTGGCCCCTGCCCTCACCTCTAAAGTGTTTCCAGGGGCAGCCAGCTGGATCCCACTGCCCCTGGGGATCTTGTAGATGGGGTCAAAGGAAGGCGGGCAGGGTCCAGCCAGAGGTCTGGAGGTGGGACAGGGCCGAGCTGGGGGTGGCACCACATACACCTGGGGATCAAGATAGGTGGGTGGGTCAGGAGGAGTGAGGGGGCCAGGGAACCAGATAATGTCTGGCTTGAAGGAGCTTAGAGGCCTTCCAACCCCCTCCCTGTATTGATGGGGAAGCAGGGCCCAGGAAGGGCTGGTCTCAGCTCCACACAGCACAGTCAGTGAAGAGCTAAGGCAACCTGCCCCACCTCACTGCAGGCCCCAGAGGAAGGGCACAGGGCTGAGTCTGGGCTCTCCAGCTCTCACCTCCTGGTCCTTATTGCCATGTTCTGGGGCTGGATATGGTGAGCCAGGCAGAGATAGGGGCACCTGGGAGATGCTGGGCTTGGGTGCTGGGCCAGTGGGAAGGAGCTTTACTCTGTTGGCAGGCACGATGCCCTGCTGGCCATGCAGGGAGCAGAGGCACCAGCCATCCAGCCCGCCTGCACCCTCCTGCTGCAGGACCCGTAGAACGTCCCCTCGGCGGAAGGACAGCTCCTGGGGGGACTCAGCAGTGTTGTCGTAGAGTGCCCGGGCCAGCTGGGCCTGGTGGGTGAGGTGGGAGTGAGGAAGGGTCTTCACACAGGTACCAGGTCATGTCACCTCCTACTCAGAACCCTTCAGAGCTCCCTGTTTCCCTTAGGCTAAAAATCTGAACTCCTGGTTCATCTCTTCCTCATTGGGCCTGCCTTGTCTCTAGCTTCACCTCCTACAGTCTCCCTCTTCCTTTCTGTTCATTAAACTAGACAAACTTCTGCCTCAGGGCCTTTGTACTTGCTGTTCCCTCTACCCCAGATGCTCTTCCCCTGACTTCTTATCTTACTGGCCCTTTTTTATCCTTCAGTTTGGCTTAAATGTCTCCTTCTCAAAGAGGCCTTTTCTTCATCCCCTCCTCCAGCCTCCAATGTGTGTCTACCTCCACACATTGTTTCCATAATAATTCTGTATACTGTTTGTCTATTTATTTTATTATCAATTTCTTCCTTATACTATAAGCCCTGTGAGAACAGGAGCTGCTATATTCCTAGCACCTGCAGTAGGTCCTGGCTCACAATCGGTCCTCAATAAATATGCTTTGAACGAATTTCCTCCAAAGCCTTGTGTGTGTGCTAGGAAGTCCCGCTAAGGTTTTCCACAGAATCTTATTTTACCTTCCCTCAGCTGTTGCCTCCCCACAAGCAAAAGGTTAGATGAAACAGTTGAAGAGATTCCCCCACCCTATGCAAATGGCAGAAGCCCAGGCTAGACAGGGTGCCTAAGCATAATAATGAAGAAAACAGAAAACAAAGCAATTGTTTTGTTCTCAGTCTGAGCAAACCTCTGAAGAGGCTGAGGTTACCGTGGAGAAAAGTGTGTACACTCTAGTGTGTGTGTGTAGACGCCGGCTGGCAGACCAAGACAAACATTTATTAGCCTGTGTCTTGTCTATCGGGTGGGTCCATCAGGGGCCATATGCTCAAGTAATAAGACACAAATGTTTCTGTTGTTTTTAGTTGCTGTTGAGTCAATCTGACTCATAGCGACCCCATGTGTTATAAAGTACCATGCGTTATAAAGTAGAACTGCTCCGTAGGATTTCTTGGCTGTAATCGTAGCAGAAGCAGATCACCAGGCCTATGTTCTGTGGTACCACTGGCTGGGTTTGAACCACCAACCTTTATGTTAGCAGTCTAGCACAAATCATTTGCACCACCTAGGGACCTTTTAATAAGTCACAGATGTTGTGTGCCGTTGAGTAGATTCCGACTCATAGCGACCCTACAGGACAGAGAGAGAACTGCCCCATAGGGTTCCCTAGGCTATAGTCTTTACTGGAGAAGATTACCAGATCTTTTCTCCCACAGGGTGGCTAGTGGGTTCAAACTGCTGATCTTTCAGTTAGCAGCTGAGTGCTCTAAACATTACACAACCAGGGCTCCTTAAGTCACAGATACTGAGTGCTAATTATGTGTCCAGACATTGTGTATGTCTTTACACTAATTATCTCATTTAATCCTCACAACAACCTTATGAGGGAGGGGCTGTCATTATTTCCACTCTGGAAAGGAAACTGGAACAGAGAGGTTGGTACGTTGCCCAATGATGCACAGTTGGTGGAGCACGAGTTGAACCCCAGGCTGTTTGAGTCCAGAGCCTGCACTCTTATTAGTCACTTGCTTTACTGCCTCTCCACAACCACAGATGTACAGAACCACTTTTGTTTTCTTTTTTAAATTAGTTAACAGCGGTTGAGTTGAGAGTCCATGACTCAAACATGAGTCAAGAGCATATGGAGGCTTCATTATGGCCAGTTTCCCTTTGCTAGTAACCCTTCACAATGTTTGGTTCCAGGATATCCTTTGGTACAATCAAGCTTAAAACACTCAAAATGCCAAATTACCTGTGCCACTTAAGTTATGATTGTTAAGTGACCACATCTGCTGGCAGGGCCCCAGCCAGTGGTGGCTTATGCAGCAGTGGTAGAGAGCAGGTAGTTCAAGACTACTGACCAGGTAATCCATGTGTGCTGACCAAGTCAGTAAAAAATGTCAAGCTCAAGACCTCAGGCAGGCTGCATTTGGCCATCAGGCCCTGGGGAGAAGGATGCCCTGTTTTTCCAGTATGAGGGCAAGTGCCTCTTGGCAGGTGTTTCCCTCTGTGGAGAGGTTGTCCAGCCCTTCATGGCTGGGTGATTTTAACAACAAACTAACTCCTCCTCTTGCCTGATTCCAAACTCATCAAACCATTTTCTGATTATATTTTGGCTTCTAAAGGATATTGTCCCACAGAATGAAAACATGCAAACTAGATGACATAGATTTCTGGTTAGCTCAGCACGTTTCTTTCTAACTGTAAATTATAAACTGGTGTTTTAGATCTAGCCGGGGCGGGGGGGTGGGGGGTGGGCATTAAGAGTATGCTTCCGGAGGCAGGCAGACCTGGATTTGAATCCTGGCTCTGTCGCTTTCTAGCTGGGTGAAAATTTGGGCAGGCTGTTTAGGCTTTCCGAGCCTCAGTTTCCTAATTTGTAAAACTGGGATAATAATACTACTACCCCCACAGGGTTTGTTGTGAGGTTGTGGGTGAGATAATGCATCAAAAACCCACGAGAAAGCTTAGCATAGTGCCAGGTGTAGTAAATGCTCAATAAATATTAGCTGTTGTTAGGATTCTGAGAGTTTGATTAGCATAAGTCATCTCCCTGGGCCTCCTCACTTCTGAGCAAAAGAAAAAAAAACTACCTCCTAGGACTACAAAGCTGACCAGCTGGCTCCCAAGCCAGCATCTTTAAGTCAGAGTGCCCCCACTATTTTTAAGACCTCCGGCTCGGAGCTCAGGTCTTCTCACCATCACACAGATTGAGGAACTAAAAGGAGTTTGGTCTGAGAAGGAGCCAAACTCAAACTTAGCAGGCCCCCTCCAGGGATATGGGAAGATGGTGGATGGCTGTTTCTCTTCCCAGTTTCACAATCCTCCTTCCCAGAGTCCCCATGCAGAGGGGGCCAGAACACAGGTGGTAGCCTCACTTTGCTTGGATTCAGGCTACAGAGAGCACAGGACAGAAAGCAGAGGTGGGGCTGTGAGGCACTCCTCCTTGTTAGGTTGGAATTCCATCCAATGGGGTCAAACCGCCCAGGCTTGCAATTTCAGGAAATTCTGAATCCACCCAGCAGCTCCTCAGGAGAAAGACCTGGCCATCTGCTTCTGTAAAGATTACAGCCAAGAAAATCCTATGGGGCAGTTATACTCTGTCACATGGGGTCGCTATGAGTCAAAATTGACTCAATAGCACCTAACAATGATGACAATAACAATGGGCAGAGTTACCGATAGACTGATGATGGGTGTGGCCCACCTCTGCTCTACCCCCTTCTCAAGGGCCCAGCTGACTTGTGAGGGAATGGTTGGCTTAATGGGGGTGGCCATGGACCATGTGTTCTTTGGGAGGCCTCCTCCCACTGTCCCATCCTGCCAGCTGTCTCCTCTCTTTGTCCCCAGTCCCCGGAAAATGGCCTGAGGCTGGCTGACATCACCTCCCCTCCTCCCTCTAGTTTCTCTTTCTTTTGCCAGATCTTCCTTCTTTGCTCCATTTCCTCCATCCCTCCTCTAGAAATGGGCCTCTAAGAGTCCTTTGGCCTCTCACATTTTCCCTGCACTACCACTTCGTTTCAGCCCCCTCCCAACCTTTTACCAGCCTCCCAATCATAAGCCCCTACCGACCACAAGTGGCCATCTGTTCCCGCCCAGAAAAGAGCAGATAAGGCTCCGGCTACACTTGCCCCCTCCCCTCGCTCCAGTAGCAGCCTTCAGAAAGAAGAAAGAGGAGAACCGGGGTGGGGGGGGCGGACAACCCTGAACCCGGAGGAGCGCAGGTGATGAGAAGTGAGAGGGAGAGGGAAACAAAAGTGAGAGGAGGGGACACAACCTCCTGGCGAAGAAAGGGACCAAGAAGAGAGACAAAGAGGGCAGAAATAAAAGTGACAGAAGTGCATGGCAGGTTGTGGAGGTCGCTGCCCGGCAGGCTCCTCCTACTGATGGACTCACCGACGTGGCTATGGCCATGGCCTCCGCCGTGGCCCGCTCCAGGCCAGGCTCGGTTTCGCCTACTTCAGCAGCGGTTGCCCGGCACCATGGTCTACCGCCTCCAGGAGAGGAGGCGGCCCCCGGCTGCGGCGCCTGAGTCGTGGCCTCCTCCGAAGTTGGAGGAGAAAGAAAACCCACAAAACTCTCCAAATGGGAGGCAGCCTGGCCAGCAGGAGGAGGAGCAGCGGGCCGGGCCGGGGCGTCGCTGCGGGACCTCATCCAAGGGCGCGCGCTTTGTACGGTCCCCGCGGCCTCCCGAGGGCCACCAGGCTGGCAAGGCCCCCGGGCCTGACTGCCCTAGGCCGCGGAGGCTCCCCGGGCCCGCATGGGCCTAAAGCTCCCTTCCAGGGCCCGGGCCGGCGAGGAGGCGGGAGCTGGGGCTGTGCTCGACGCCTCTCCAGGCCGCTCTGGGCGGCCCCGAGGGCTGGGAGAGGCCGCCGGGGCGATCGTGCTGGGCGAGTGAGTTTAGGGATCAACCCTCCCCACCCGGGAGCCGTGCAGAAGAGCGGGACTCCCAGGGCTGTGGTCCGGGCAGCCGGGGGCACTGCGGCGGGACCCGCTGGGAGAGCAGAAAAGAGAGCGAGAACTGAGACGTTTGTCCCTCTTGGAACTCGCCCAAGTTAGCGAGGGAGGCCAGGCGGGCGCCAGAGGCCTCATAGAGCGTGGCCGTTGGGCTGGGTTGCTAGAGTTGCTGCTTTCTGCCCAGACACTCGCACCCCCGGCGGTGCGGGGGGCTCACGCTCACACGCTCGCTCTCAGCAAGCCCGGGAGCCTGAGGACGCCGCGACGGCGCCTCGCCCCCGGCTGTCGCCCTGCAGCAACCCACACGCAGACACAGCCCGAAGAGGCCGGGCAGCCTGAACAACTCGTGCTGGCGCCCAGGCAGAGAGGTGCCCGCCGCCCTTCTCCAACCCTTCGGCCTTCGCGAGCAGGGCCGCGCACGCCCGCTGCCACCCTCGACCCCCTGGCACTCGGCGCGGGCCCCGCCGCCCACGCTCGCACGCACCCTATGCACGGGCCCTAGGCAGGGCCCCTCGGCAGCTCCCAGGTGTCTCTGAGTAAGAAGGGAAAGACCACAAAGCAAAAGAAGAAGCAAAGGGAAGGCGAAGGAGGAGTAGTGGCTAGGGTCCTGTGGACTCGGCTGGGGGACTGTTGGGGAGGCACCATTAGAGGGTCCCCCCCGAAGCAGGCGGGCTAGGAGGCTCCGGGGATCGCGTGTGGCCCCCAGGCTCACCCCGCCCCCGCACTCGCGACTACCCTCCCCTTCCTGGGATCCTGGCTCCCTCTCTGTGCAGTTTCTTCCTCCTCCCCTCGGGTCCTCTCCTCTCCGACGCAAGGCTCAGTTCTTGGGATTAAGAAAAAGAGGGACGGGAAAAGGGAGGCGAAGGGTGGGGGCGGAGGAGAAAGGCGGACAAACCCTCCAAAGGCGGGTGTTGAGTTTCAGTTCCGGACCCTCGGGCCAAACGGCACGCCCCCTCCTGGCCACTCTGCGCCGCGCATCCTTCTTCCCGACTTCTCCGCGGACCTCTGGGTGGTCTAGTCAGCTCCCTCCAGGGAGCTTTCCTCTCCCTGCCACGCCCCCGCCCTCCCCCGCCAGCCCCGCGCCTCTCTGCCTCGCTTTCATCAGCCCCACATCTGTCTTTTCCGTAGGAGGGAGCGTGCTCCTTCAGCCTTGCTGGGGTCCTCGGCCGACGGAGCCCCTCCCCTCCGTTGGTGCTGCCTCCGCAGGGATGACAGGATTATCCAGGCTGTTTCTGCGGGGGACAGACAGGAGTTTAGTGCTGGGCATGGATTCTGGCCCTGGCAGGAGAACGTGAAGCCTGAGCGTCTGGCCCTAGAGCTGCAGGAGGACCTGTTGGGCAGCATATCACACTCTGCCAGTCTGGGCCTGTCCCCCGCCCTCACCCTGGCTTGCTCGGTGCTGCCTGGGAGGAGCAGGAGTGGGGAGCACGGGCACAGAAGGGCCAAACTCTTTCAGAAGGATTGGGATCTCTCCCTCCAGGAGTTTCAGCTGAAAGGACAGGGCTCTTTTAATCCCCCACACCTCTCTGCCCTTCCTATTATTACTCCTTAGATTGCCTGTTTCTTTCCCATCACCTCTTTCTCCCTCCTGGGGCACACACCAGAGGCTTGAGGGAACCCTGCCTACTTCCATTTCTGAGGTTCCTGGTCTTTAAAAAAGGAGACGCCTAACAGAGTTGAAAGCTGTAGTATATTTTTCAATGTTTACATTTAACAAATTCACACTTCAAACACATAAAATAGACAATGATTCTATGTATAACCTCATTAGGAAATAACATCAGAAGTCTAAGGTCTTTTATGAACCTGAGGACTTGGACAAATGCTTCCCCCACCACACACGTACGTTCACATTCCACAGACCCACACATCCAGGCATTTCCCAGGACATTGGGAGGATACCTGTGCCAGCTCCTTCACCACCCTATTGCCTGGGCATCTATGAGGAACCCTCTGCAGAGGCGAGGGATGAAGCCTATGAGGTGGATTAGGAAGAGATACTGGGGTGAACATGGGAATGGACCATATTGGTTCCGGGCTTGGCTCAGAGATAGGGTGCATCCTGAACAGACCCAGACTCCATTAGGACCGTATAGGAACAGATACATCTAAAGGGAGAGCTCCTTCATTCCAGCTCCATCCTGGTCTGAGGTGGCCACTAGGGAAGGTTCTCTTACCTCCTCCAGACCCCAGCCCTGGGGAATGGGAGTGGCGGTGGAGACTGGCCACCTGGAACATACACATTCAGCTACTGGGGAGTAACTGGTATGGTATCTGCCCAGGGGACTGTCAAAGCAAACTGGGGTCCAAGGTGGGAGTGGGCAGGAAACCCTGTGTTCAAAGAGGAATGCTGTGACTGACACAAAGGGAAATAGGTGGAGGCCAGAAACGGATAAGTAGGAAAGAAGCTGCTAGGGCCAGGGAAGACTGGTGGCTTGGGAGATGGGCAGTGGGACTCACTGCTGTGCCTGGGGAAATGCTCAGTGTCTGAGGAAATGTTGGTGAGAGATATCAGAGTGCAAACCAGGAAAATATAACTGTGTTCTGGAGTCCCCAGGCAAGGATGGAGCCAGTCTGACTCGAGTGTGAATCCTGGTTTGTGTGACCTTGGTCAAGTTATATAACATCTCGGAGCCTCATCTGAAACAGTAGCTCTGGTGAAGAATAATATGTAAAGTGCCTAGCACAAAAATCTTCTTCCATGGCTTTTCCTCTTCGCTTTTGCTCCCCTTCTAACTTGTGCTCTCACAAGCTCATGCCCTTTGTGAGGGCAGAAGGAGCCTTTTCCCTGTCCTTAGGCCTCATCTCTGTCCTCCTTTGCACAGAGGTTTAAGGCGATTCTAACTTGTTCAGGGAGAGCTCTGGGCTCCAAGTAAAGTAGGAGAAAACTCAGGCTTGGTGGAAAGCTAAGACCCTGGGTGGGCTACAGCCTCAGGCAGCTGAGACCTCAGGGAGTCTGCCCTTGTTATGTTCTGGGAGTGGGGGTGGGGCGGGTAGAAAGAAAGGAACCCCTCCGCCTGGCTTTCAGGATTCCAGTCTTCTCTCTCACTCTTTCTCCTCCCCAGCAGGGCCTGACCAACTGGTGTCTTCCTCACTCTACCCCATGACTTCCCAGACTTGTTCTTGTTCCTCCTGCTACCTATACCCTCTCAGATGCTCATTAATTCTTCCCTGGCCTCTCCAGTCCTCCTCTCTTTGGCTCTCCACAGCACTCAGATTGCGTGGGTTCTCTTCCTGGTTCTAACACGAGCTGTATAACCTTGTCAAGTTATGTGACCTCTTGGAGTCTCTGGTTCCTTGTCTGTAAAATGGGGCTAATAATGGCGTTGGCTTGTTGTGAGGATTAAATCTTAAACCCTGAGAACAGTGCCTGGCCCATGATGCATAAATATTGGATAAAAGCAGCTATTATTAATATTTGGTGCCAGCTGTGTGGGTGTTATTTGGTGCCAGAATGTCAAGAATATGGTGCCTGCCCTTGAGAAACTCACATCCCATGGGTTGTACTTGAATCCAGTTAAACCTTCCTACTTGGAATTAAATCCAAATGCTCCATCATAGCCTGTCAGACCCTACATTATCTTGTCCCTACCCACCTCTACTGTCTCATCTCATTCCACTCTCCTCAAGATCTTTCCCACCTCTAAGACTTTGCATGTCCTGCGACCTCTGCTGAGAACATTCTTCCCCTAGACTCTTTCCAGCATCATGTCAAAATCTTCGTTCTCAGAAAGGTCTTTCCTGGCCTTCCAAGTTAAAGTTGTGACCCCTCCCCCTACGGTAACTCCCTATCTCCTAACGCTATTTCATTTTCTTCGTAGCACTTATTGCTATCAGAAATTATCTTGCTTCCTTGTTTATCATCTCTCTCGTCTTGAAAGCTTCATGAGGCAGGAATCTTATCTGGCTTATCCTTGTCTGCATTCCTAACATTTAGAATTGTGCCTGGTGTATACTAGGTGCTCAGTAAATATTTGGTGAGTGGATGAATGAACAAAGGCAGCCATGACTATAGGACAAAGCTTGAGTAAGCCAAGGGCCCTCCTTGGGGAGGCACCAGCCTTGGGCTAGGGGAAGGAATTTGCCAGGCTCTTTGTCCCATTCACTCCGATTCTTCTTCTGTCATCTCCCAGGCCAAACTGGGTTCTCTTGAGCCTAAACATCTTTGTAGCTAAAAGTGATATTAAAAATATTTAGCAACCACAGCCCAAGTGCCCTTAACAGATAAATAAACAAAATGTGGTATATATACACAATGGAATATTATTCAGTCATGAAGAGAAATGCTACCACATTGGTGAACCTTGAAAACATTATGCTGAATGAAATAAGCCAGACACAAAGGACAAATACTGTATGATTCCATTTATTTGAAATCTCTAGAACGGACGAATCCATTGAGACAAAGATTAGTAGTTACCAGATATAGGGGGGAGGGAAGAACAAGGAGTTTAAAAAAAAAAAAAGAATTCAAGAGTCACTTATAGATATCCCCTACGGTCTTCTTAAAACCAAACAATGTTAACTAGTAAAAAATACCTGCCTTGAGCATTATGCTCTTTTAAGAACTATCTACATGGGATCAAATTGAGAACAGCAACTTAAAAGATTAGATAGGAACCTTAGGGGGCAGTGCATTTATATTAATGCGGGAGGAACAACTCAGAGAAGGAGGGTGAGGATGGTTGTACAACTCAAAGAATGCAGTCAGTGTCACTAAATGGTACATGTAGAAAGTTGTATTGGTGTATGTTTTGCTGTGTATATTCTCAGCAACAACAAAATAAATAAAATTATTTAAAAAAATCACTTGTGGAAAGAATTCAAGGATAAACTGGAGGATGAAGTAGGTATGTTTTTCCTGGAGCTGTTATAACAAGTTACCACAAAGTGGGTGGCTTCAAACAACAGAAATTTATTTTCATAGTTATAGAGGCTATTGTTGTTAGGTGTTGTCCAATTGATTCCGACTCATAGTGACCCCATGTGGCAGAGTAGAACTGCCTCATAGGCTTTTCTTGCCTGTAATCTTTATGGAAGCAGATCACCTGGTCTTTCTCCCACAGAGCTGCTGGGTGGGTTCGAACCACCAACCTTTCGGTTAGCAGCCAAGTGCTTAACCATTGCACCACCTTGTTACGGAGGATAGAAGTCTGAAATCAAGGTGTCAGCCATTGATTCCCTCTGGAGGGTCTGAGGGAGAATCTGTTCCATGCCTCCCTCCTAGCTTCTGGTGGTTGCTGGCAATCCTTGGTGTTTCTTGGCTTCCTCCCAGTTGTATCATTACAATCTCTGCCTCCATCTTCACATGGCCCTTTCTGTGTCTGCATCTTCTTCTCCTCTTATAAGGACATTCATCATTGGATTTAGGGCACACCCAGATAATCCAGAATGATCTTGTCTCAAGATCCTTAACGTAATTACATCTGCAAAGACCGTTTTTCCAAATAAGGTCACATTCACAGATTCCAGATGGCCATATCTTTTAGGAGGCCACCCTTCAACCCACTATAGAGTAGATAAAGTTTAAGGTTTATCTAAACCTGAGATTCTAGGATCCTACATTATTTATATTAAAGCATATGTGACTGATATTCAATGCTTCCTTAAAAGAAGTTTTTAAAGGGCAATAAACATCTATTAACTGGTGAAAGATGGGGGAAGAAAAAAAAATAGCAAACAGTACTATAAAAACCTACTAATCAAAACACAGAAACAAGGTTTAAGTCAGATTCCAGGAGCAAGCTTAGCCATGTATTCACCCTTTAGTTACTAGATCACAGGGAGGTCATGGTAGACAGGTGTCCCAGGAGGCTGAGGTCAGTATCTATTTACCAGCAGATGCAGAGATATTTAAACATTTTAAGAACCTGTGCCCCAGCTTCACATATGGGCCTCAGTAAACCCTGCTGAGTCCTGTAGCACTCAGGACTATTTTAAGAGCTGAGGTCCAGATCAGCTAAACTGGCTGGCAACTTTGTGGCCATCCAGATCACATTCCCACTCCCCGACCCCAGCCGGCACCCTCCCCACCCCCACTTCTACAGAGGAGGAGGGAGGACCAGAGAGGGTCCAAGGTCAAGAGCTGGTCAGAGGCAGGGTCAGGAATTCAAGGCAGCAGGTGAGGACTTGAATGTCTTTCTGGGAAAGGGCAGGTCAGCAATGTTCTAGCTTACTGCTAGCCCCAAGAGCCTTTTCTAGGCCAAGGGTGGAGGGCGTATTCCATCACATCTTCCCTCCCTTTCCTGCCAGGTGCTGATCTCTTTCCCCAGGGGAATGGGGATGGGAATCCCAGCAAGCCTTCTCTGACTGGCAGGTCAGGCCCAGGCAGGCAGGGATATGCTGGGAGGGTACCCTTGATGTCAGGTGCCAGGCAAACTTTGTTTTGCATCACCTCCAGTATTCTCCTCGTTGCCACCCTTATCTCCTAACACCCCGAAGGATTCTCTGGAAGCTGAAGTGACTCAGGGATTCCAAAACCAGTCACCCCAGGAGGAAAACCCTCTGGAAAATGTTTCTCATGGCAGGGAGTCAACCTAAGGATCCCACAAAGCTGCTACTGAGATAAGGGCAGAGACTGGACAAATGGGTGGGGTGGGGGCATGTGGCTCGGGTCAGGTCATCATAGGGTAGGAAAGCCAACCCTGGGAAGACTGTGCTGAGAAGGCCTCTCTGTGCCTTTCAGGGGTTTCCTCAGAGGAGGGCCTGGTACAGAGGTAAGGGGACTCCCCAAAGTTCTCTCCTGTGGACGTTGTTCCCAGTAACCCAGTCAGGTCCTTTCTGCAGTGTTAGCAAGTGAAACAAGTAGCTGGGTTCACTTCCAGCTCCTTTGAGGACCCCTCTGGACAGGGGCGAAGATCGGGAGATCTGGGCCAAGGCTAAGCTTCAGTTCGTCTCCCTCAGCCCTGAGGTTCTGATTGGTTTTGGGGAGATCTGAGGGGGATCCAGTTCTTCTGAAACAGCACTGTTCCCTAAGAGCCTCCTCTGGGGCTGGGGCTTGCTGAGGAGCAGCAGAAGCCACCTTGGGACCATGTACCTACCAGACACTGGGGAGCAGGAAGCTGGACCCCTGCCACCAGGGCTGAATGCCTAAGTGTGCAAGAATGCCCTGGCCTGCGGCAGGTGCAGGCAAGACTTGTCCCAGCCCAACCCTAGGTGAATAGGAAAGCATTTGCTGTGGGGGCTCTTCTTCTTTTTGCAGCCAACTTTGGGGTGGCCCAGTGTGGCTCCTCTAAGCCAGAAGTTTAGATTTGGAGTTGGTTGGGACTGGAACTGAAAACCCGTTCTGTCTCTTCCTAACTTTGGGTAGGTTACTAAATTTCTTTGGGTCTCAATTTCCTCATCTGTAACATGAGGATAATAGTTCTCATCTCATGTTTTATTGTAAGGATTAAATGAGATGATGCATGTACAGGGCTTAGCACCATGCCTGATACACGCAGGTGCACAAGAGCTAAGGCCAGCAGTATATGGACGGGAGAGATGTCTGGGATCACAAGAACCAGAGGGTGGGGAATGGGAATGGGGTGATGATATTCCTGGCCTCATTGCTCTTCCTAAGTGTTCCTGCTCTCCCAGCCACTACCTGGTTCCTCTAAGGCCACCTCACCACACAGTTCCAGGCCCCCAAGACTTACTGCTTCTCCCACTTCTCCAGAGAGCTCCCTGACCCCATCACTCCTCTGCTTTGGGACTTCTTTATCTTAAAGCATTTGAAAGGATTCCTCCTCACTGCAATTTAAGTTATTCCTGGTTCTCTTTGTTTATTTTCTGAGTCCTTAGTTACCAGAGGAGTATTTTCTAAGGGAAAGCACATGCAAATCAGGAAACATCATGTCTGTGTATGAGTGTGTTGGGGTGGCAGAGTTGTGGGTGTTGGGGATGAGGAGGGTCAATGGCAAGGATGGATAGAATAGACCTGGAAGGCCTATTCTCAGCCTTCTCTCAGCACAGTGCCTCCCAAGCTGGGTGGACCCTGGCAGATCTGTATCTTTGGGGTCGAGCTCAGCTCTGAGCCTATCTGGAGCACACGTACTTCTTCCTGGCCAACAGTGGCCCGTGGAGCTGGGAGGGCTGAAGCTGAGTGGGCTGACCCCATGATCGAGAGCAGCTGCTACCCCTACCATGCCCCTTGTCCCCAAGGCCCTGCTAGTGGGGGTGTGGCAGGCTGGTCCCTGGAGCTGGGACCTCCTATTGGGTCTAAGGTTGAGGCTGTTTCCATGCCTTCTCTTCCTTGCTTCACCTTCTCATTTGAATAATGGGAATAGTCACCCACAGCTTCTTCCGTCAGACCCTGTGCAACCAGCCAAAAAACTGACTGGGTCAGGGCTTCCTAGCAATCCTGTGAGGTTAGGCCTGTATCTCTATTCTAGGGGAAAGGGTCAGCAAAAGTGTGGGGATGGGAGTGACCACTGCAGAGGGCAAAGGGAAGTTAGGGGGCAGGTAATGAACAATGGGAGAGAAGTCATAGATGATGGGGGCCATAGAACTTGGGGCTATCAAAGATGAGGAAGGGGCCAGAGAACAAAAAGGATAGGAGTCAAAGGAGATAGAGGGAAAAGGAAGTGTTCACAAAGGTGAGTGATTAGGAGGAGGACCGAGAAAAAGGGGATGGTGGAAACAAGACCTGGGGTGGGAGCAGCAGAGATCATGGAAATGAGGCCTCTTGGAGAGAGGTGAGATGACATTCTCTACTTTTGAGTGCCAAGCCAACCAGGGAGATTCACGAAGGCACAGACTAGCAGGACACCACTGCTTTGAGTCCATGCCTGGAAAAGGGCAGAGAAAAGTTTACCCAATAGGCTATCAGGCTTATTATAAAGTTCATCACAACTTCCATGAGCAGAACACTTTAAGCAGCTTTTGGAAACACTTTCAGGTTTTTTTGGTTTTGTTTTGTTTTTTAATCTCAGGGTACTCCCTCCAAAAGGTAGTGGAAATAAATTTGAATAACCAAAACAGGTTTGCTCAAAATAAAACCAGGATGCTTAAAATTGCTCCAGTCAGCCTGATTCCACAAGGCCCTGCCTGCCAGCAACTGAACACCTAGTGGCTGAGTGAGCAGCAGTCGGCATGTACAAGGTGAGTGTAGAGAGGGCTGGCAGAGGACATCGCTGAGCAGGGAAGGAGCAGAGATGTTGCTGAGGGTGGAGGTAGGCCAGGCTCCCGGGGCTGGGAGCTGGGTGGAGCTAGAAACCAGGATCTCAAGGAGCAGCTGGGGGAGTGGTTGAGAGGGAGGAGGGACCCAAATCATGTGAGAGTAGTTTTCTCCTTGGCCTTTTCCTACAGGTGGTTGCAGTCCTGGCAACGGTCATGGGAACCCACACCTTCAGTTTGAGGCTCCACAAGGACAGATCCCACTGGCCCAGCTGCTGCTCCAGCAAAGGACAGGACTTCTCTGAGGAGTGGCTGAAGTGGAACCCTGTGGTGGTGAATTCTCCGGAGACTGCCAGCCTCATCCGCTATGCAGAATCTTGCCGGGCCAGTGAGGACGGACCCCTTAACAGCAGGGCCATTTCCCCCTGGAGATATGAGTGAGTCTGCAGTCTACATTCTGAATGTTTGTATGTCTTGCTCCCCTCTGTGTACCAGTCAAGGCGTATGTGAGGGCCAAGGGGCATCCCACTCATGTCCAGCCTGTTCTTGTGTGCTGTTGAGTCGATTCTGACTTATAGTGACCCAATGTGACAGAGTAGAACTGCCCCATATGGTTTCCTAGGCTGTAATCTTTATGGGAGCAGATCACCAGGTCTTTTCTCCTGGAGCAGCTGGTGGGTTCCAATCACTGACCTTTTGGTTAGTAGCCAAGTGCTTAACCATTGTGCCACCAAAGCTCCTTAAGTCCAGCCTGCCTTCCCCTTTTTATCTCTGAGAGGCCGTAAAGGCTTAGGCATTAGACAAGGCCAGGATTTGAGTCCTAACTCTGACTCTTATTGGGTGACCACAGGCCAGTTACTCAAGGTTCCAAAGCTCAGTGCTTTTCATCTGTAAAATGGGGATAACACTCTACAGGTTAATGTGCAAATCAAATGAGTTAATGTGTGTAAAGGTCTGTACTTAGTACAGGAGATGCTAGTTTTCTCCTTTGTTTCTTCTTTTCCTATCCCTACAGTAGCCATGTTTTTCTAATTAAAATATCAGGGAATAATGGTAGGACATAGACACAAAGCATCCCAACACCAAATGCTCCCGCCCTGGGCCATGAACAGGCTATATGTATACTAAGATAGTGAAACCCTAAGCCCTTGTGGGCAGCTGGATGGCTGGTTATCTTTGGTCATGAGCAGTGTTGTTCTTTCCCTCAGCATGTCACACAAATATAGTAATTCTCTCTCTATTTGTTCCATGATGTGAAAAATATTGGGAAGCACTGAAATAGGTACAAAGAAGCAAAATATTAGAAAGTAGGGCCTTAGGGATCCCAAACATATTTTTTGTTCTGCCTTGTGTCCTTACCTGGTGTTTGAGTTCCCACTCCCTATAAATCCAGTTCTGGCTTAACCTTGGTTTTGGGGATGGATGAAGTTTAGTGCAGTAGACAGCAGTTTAGTTTTAATTGAGACTAGGTCCAGGGTGGAGACTCTAGGCCACTATGCTTTGGAGCAGTCTTAGAAGGCAGGCTAGATCCTGGGCCAAATCCGATGGTGTGGGATCCCCTTAGGGGATGACTGACCCAGCTGGGGTCTAGACCCCGCTTTAGAAGGTTGTAAAGCCCTGATAACCACTTGGCTGGCCTTTCCCAAAGTGTATCCTGTGCAACACTAGTTCCACAAGCTGCTCCTCAGAAAAAAGTGACAGTGTCAGGTATGTTTGGGAAAGGCTGCTCCAGCTCCTACCTCTGGAAGTTTCATAATGCCCTCAGCACTTTGAAGGCTGCAAGAAGTCTGCAGAAAAGAAACTATTAAACTCAATGTTTCCCCAACTTATTTGGCCACAGAACCCTTTTATTTTATTTTATTTTTTTGCAGGGTACTTATTAGGTAACCAGCTTTGGGAACTGCTGCACTAGATAAGCCCCAGTTCGCCAGGGCTTGTCGGTTTGGGAATGGTCCTACAACCTAGGGGCTGTTTCCTGCTAGGATGCTAGAGTCCCAGACCTTTGGAACACCTACTTTTTAGTAGTTTTCAAATCTGTCTTTGACCATGAAATCCTTTTAAAATAAGTAAATAAGTCTAACCACACACTTTGACATGTGCTTATAATATATGCATAGACAGTGTCTGGAAGGATAAACAGGAAACTTTTGATAGTGGCTCCCTCTGGTGAGTGGAACTGGTGGGGAGAAAGACTGTTAGTCTTCACTTTATACTCTTGTACTTAGATTAAAAAAAACAAACAAACTGAAAAAGTAATAACAATTACAAAAAGAAGCCTCATTCCAAAGCCCAGTGTATGTACACTGAAGCAGAGGTAGTCTGCTGGAGGCTCAGCTTCTCCTGCTTCCTCAGAGTCTCTGGGTCAGCTGGAAACCACTCTCTAGTCCCTTACCCTCATTTGCAGTTAGGGAAAATAAGTCCCAAAGACGAGGGGGGTGATTTTTTCAGAGTCAGGCAAGTTGGTGCCAGAACTGGGACTAGAAGCCAGGCCGCCTGCCCACCGCACTGTTTCCTTCCTCTGGCATTCCCACTCCGCCTGCCCTCCCCCGCTCACCCCTCCTCCCTCCAGGGCCTGATGAGTGCCAACCCCACAGGTTAGACAGAGACTTGGACCGGCTCCCCCAGGACCTGTACCACGCCCGCTGCCTGTGCCCACACTGTGTCAGCCTACAGACAGGCTCCCACATGGACCCCCTGGGCAACTCCGAGCTGCTCTACCACAACCAGACCGTCTTCTATCGGCGGCGGTGCCGCGGTGAGCAAGGTGCCCATGATGGCTACTGCCTGGAGAGAAGGCTCTACCGCGTCTCCTTGGCGTGTGTGTGTGTGCGGCCCCGTGTAATGGCCTAGTGGTGCCCGCCTGAGACTAATCCCTTGTTAGGAAAGCTGGCACCTGGAAAGCTGTGGGCAGCATAACCCACTGCCACCGGGCTGGCTGCCCAAATGCTCAGCCCCTCCAAAGCACCACCTCCATGGAGCAGCAGGATCCTGGGACAGGATGGAGGGCTTCTGGGGAGAAACCTGCACTCTTGCACTTTGGAGAGGACAGAAATGTAGAGTGAAGTGAAGGGGACAGCTGCTGCTTATGGCTCCTGGAAGCTGGTGTCCTGGCACTATCCTCTCGGAAAGGTTTTCAAAGCTCTACCTGTTTCTCCAGGCCACTGCTCTTATCCTGCCATCCCCAGCTGCCCCGGTACAGCACAGGCACTTTCTTGATATTTTCCCCTTTGCCAATGGAGAGCCCCTTGTTTCACTTCTTTGTTGGTTGGATCGTTCATTCATTCATTCGTTCACTCATCCATTCATTCATCAAATACTCTGTGAGCATCTACTTTGTGCGTATCAGTGTGTAGTTACTAGTCTTTTGACATGGATGATTCTGAGGAGGAGGCTGCTATTGAGCACGGAGAGACTTATCCAAATAAATAATCTGTATTTAAAAATGGCCTAATTTGTCTTTGGCATCTCTGGTCTCTGAACATCTTGTGGTCCCCAGCCTGGTCCCTTCTCCTCCGCATCAGCCTCACCTACTGCCCACCCTGCCAACTCCCTCTGCCTTCCAGAGTTCCCACTGCGCCCTCCCATTCTTTCCCCTCTCTAGCTCCCTGGCTCACCCGGAGCACCAGGGTGGGGCTCAGACCTCCCACCCGGCATGCTGGATAGACAAAGGCCCATTGAGGCACAGCAGCAGGCACATAGCGCCCCCTTGTCCCCCAACAATCCGCCTTTGTCCTCTGGTCCTGGCTGCTACCGCTCGGTCCTGGGAGGGGGGAAATGCTGCCTGGGCAAGACTCCAGCTTCCACCCTCCCTAAAAGGAAAAGGGAGAAAGGAGGAGCCAAGGAAGAGGGTCAGGGTTAGGGGAGGGGGACACAACTTCTTTAGACTTAGGTCCTTGAAGGGCACCCAGTCCCGCCCCTGTTTCTCCGCTCACCTCCCAGCTCCTCTCATTTTCTCCGTAGACCCCTTCCTCTCCCCCTTCCCCCCTTCTGCAGTCTGGGTAGGCTCTGAGTAAGGGGAGGGGTTAGTCACTCCTCCCCTCCTCTCCCCTCCTCTCCCCTCCCCGCATGCCCCCGTGTCTTATAGGGGCTGGTGCAGGCACCCGCGGGGGCACTCTGGGCAGCTGGGCGAGGGCCCATCTAGGCAGCCTCCCTGGCAGCCGCCTTGGTCTGGGCCCTGAGGTCAGGCTTCCTCTACAACTTTCAGGTTTCTTGGACCTTCCTGCTTCTGTCTGCTTCCTCATCCTGCCAGGTTTCAGTTTCCCTTCCAGGCTGCTGGTGGTGGTGTGGGGGGCTGTGCCTGGTGGGTCCCATGGAGATGCTTGGTGCTCGGGACCGCCTGGACTGGCCCCCCGAGGAGGGGACGGCTGCAGGGCTCCAGGCCTTCGCTGTGGACAAGAACTTCCTCTCCTCCCTCAGAGGCATCCTACTGGAAACCGAGCTGGTAACAGCTGCCTCCTGACCTGGCGCCTCATCTCTCCTCTTCCCCCTCCCCAATTCAGCCCTGCACTGGGCCTCTCCCAGGCTCACCCCTCACAGCCCCCCTTCTCAGGCTTTCTGGACCTCCTCTTGCCCCCATCTTCCCTTCTCTCACCTCCTACTCTGCCTTCTTGCTGCCTCCCCAGCTGGAGGCAGCTGCAGCAGGTCTTAGTTGCAGCAGGAAGGATTGAAGTTAGACATAAGGACTGCTATTTGGGACTTCCAGGGAGTGTGAGACAGAGTTGGAACGGGGAAATGCTGGCTTGTCTTTCCCAGGCTCTAAGAGGGCTACTTCTTGGCACATCCAAGAAGTTCAGCTATCAAAAGGGGCAGACTTCCTGCAGCCCCACTTTATCTGTTGTCTGCTCCCCATGAAAACTATTCTTAGAAAAGCCTCTTTCCCTGGTCACTGAGCAAGGTCTTATGGAAACTTGAGTCCTCTGCATATATGGCATCCTACATTGCCAGAGCCGAGGAACTGCCAGAGTACACCATGGCCTTCTAAGCCTTGTCTCAGCATGGAGCCAAGGGCTCTGGTCCTTGTTAGAGGTGTTTTAGGATATGGGAGTGGGGAGAGCATTATGCGGATGGGGATGCTGCCTGGGGCCCAGGGTTGCTGTGGGCATAACTCCAGGGGCTGATGTTCACATTGAACTCTGCCTTCCAGAGGGACACCACTGTCATGGATTACCATATGAATGGTGCCCCCTGGAGTTGTGCAGCTTGGCCCTGTAGTGCTGGGGCTGCTGGGATCCCTGGGCAGGGGGTAGCCTGTGTGGGCAGAGGTGGGAGGCTGGAGACTACCTTCAATGGTAATGGTGGCTCCTGCCACCAGGGGTGGGGAGACCTGCCAGAGCTCTGCTTTCTCTCCAAGAATGGGTGGAGGGGTGCCAACCCAGGGGATCTCCTGAGGAGACGAAAGCAAAGATGTGGCTTGTGAGCTGTGTGCCTTCCTGGCAAGCTGCATACGCTTGGTCCTGCAGGCCCTGACCTTTATCATCTTTATCTGCTTCACCGCCTCCATTTCCACCTACATGGCCGCGGCGCTGCTCGAGTTTTTCATCACGCTCGCCTTCCTCTTCCTCTATGCCACCCAGTACTACCAGCGCTTCGATCGGGTTAACTGGCCCTGTCTGGTGAGGAATCCTGCTGCCCTAACCCCATTCTGGTCCCTTCCTTCTCCTCTCCCAGCCTGCCCCCTTGTCCTTTACCCTGGCAGTATGGGGCCCAGTCCCCGCCCCAGCTGTGCTTCACCCCATGTTGTGCCCTGAACTCAAAAACTGCCTTGACCCACACTGATTTCACAGTTACAAGGGTCACTGACTGTGAGGGTACGCACATCCCTTAGATCTTCTCTCCCACTCACAGAGGTCCAGCCGCAGCCCCAGCCCAGACCTGCCCTGCCCCTCCCCACCTACAGGGCCTGACTCGGGGGCTCCAGCCACTGTGCCTCAGTCCTACCCCAGGTCCCTGGCTCCATGGGTAGCTCAGGGTTCATCTGCATCCCTTCCCTGGGTAGCAGTGTGAGCTCTCTTTTGAAACTGCTTTATATAGTGTTCAGAGGTATCCCCATGTAGGGATTAAGAGTGCCTGAAGGTCAGGCTGCTCACTAGTGTAGAAAAACCTCAGGGTGAATGCCCCCCTGCCCTCTGACCCTCCTTTTGACCCTGCACCCCAACCCCTCATAGGACTTCCTCCGCTGTGTCAGTGCTATCGTCATCTTCCTGGTGATCTCCATCGCTGCTGTGACCTCCCGGGATGGAGCTGCCATTGCTGCTTTTGTGAGTCCAGCCCTACAGGGCTCTCCAGCCCCCCAGGACCTCTGGCTGATGGTTGCACACTTTCTGTGCCTCCCCCACAAGCTAAAACCGGTGCCCAGGGTTCTGGCTCTCACCTGGCCTCATATCATCCATCCTCTCCCCCCTAATTCCACGGCCTGATGGCCTTGGTTTATGCCATTCCTGCTCCTATTCTCACAGGTTTTTGGCATCATCCTGGTTTCTGTCTTTGCCTATGATATCTTCAAGATCTACCAGACTGAGATGGCACCCAGGGCTACCGAGGGTGAGTGCCTGTGCCCCGGGGAAAGGAGATGCCCTTCCCCAAGCTACCCCATCCTGACATTCCTTCCCCTGCTTGGCTCCATCTTCACAGGGGACCAGCAGTGACCCCCGGGACTACCTGGCTCCCAAGGCCCAGCCAGACAAAGGGGACAGTAGCACCCAGACATGCTTCCTTTGGCTTCCTTAGCCCCCCTGCCCACTGTCCCCCAGCCCACGCCTACAGAGATGGAGCCTGGCCTAAGAAGCCACCGGGGACTTGTCAGTGGAGCCTGGTGCTCTGGGATCTGGCTACTGATGAGGCTCTTGACAGGCGAGAGGTGTTACAGAGGGAGGCAGGGAGGGGGTGAAGAGGAAGCTGTGTGCCCAAGTCATTCCCAAATTAAAAGATTCAAATCCTACTGGTGAGTCTTTTTCTTCCCCAGAAATCAGGCAGATGAGGGATGCCAAGGTTTGTTCATGGAAATACTGTCTGGAGCAGGTCATGGTCCCTCTCTGAGACCCGGTCTGAGCAATGAGGAGGTGGGGGGCTAGACCAAAGAATGCTGAAGATATCCTGCAACACAAAACTTTTGTGCCATGAGTCTCTGTGTGTGAGGCCACTCTGTGGTGTGCTGGTGGCTGGAGACCTGGTGTTCTGTGTCTGAGAAGGCACATGCCACAACTGCACACACAGGTTAGTGGATTTGAGGTGAGGTGCTCCCCTGGGGTGTGTGTAGATCTCCCCCTCGTCGTGTGGGGAAGACTAAACCTGCAGACCGCAGGTGAGAGGTCAGCCCGTGGCATCAAACCAGGTCAGAGATCCCCAAAATGCTGGCGCTGGAAGAGCCCTTAGATATCTGGTTCAATGCCCTCATTCCAGTTAGGGGACATGACCTCCTTATTTGTAATAGAGCAATGGCTAGAATCCACCTCTCCTGACACCGAGACAGATGTTCTGGATACTGTACTGAGCCCCCTTATAGCTCATAAAAAATGGTCCAGCCTCATCCCCAGCTCCTTCCACCACAGACCCACCTTGCCAGCTTGCTAGCTCCTCAGCAAACATTTCCTGAGCATCTCTTGTGTGTAGACCCTGTGCTGGGCACCAGGGATTCCAAGGTGACACGCAGGCCTATCCTTGAGAGCTCACAGACAGACCATCATTGATGTGTAAAGGATAATCACAGTTGCCCATGATGAATGTCATGGGAGAACTCCGCTGAGAGGGAGCTCAGAGCAGGTACCTGCTGCAGCCTGGGTATCAGCCCTGCCCATCCCATGACAGCTCAGTGCAGCCCAGGACACCCCTCCCAGCCCTGGACTGCCCAGCATGGTCTAGCTCAGTAACTTCATCCAAGCTGACATGCCAGCCCCTCTCTCTGGTACTTGTTTGTTCTCACCCTGAAATGCCCTTCCTTGTTCCCTGATACTCCTTCCCAATGCAAGCCCTGCTTGGACCCTGGGACTCTGATATTGATGGTCTGCTCCCCTCTTGGTCTAACTTTCCATCTCCCACTCCGTTCCCCTTTGCTTGTGTCCTGGCTTCTCATCAGAGCTGGCAGTCTCTCCAGGGCTAGGACCAGATGGCTCTTGTGTTTCTCTGGTCTCTGTGCACAGTTCTCAGGGCTTCATTCATGGTCTATTGTTAAGACTAGTTGACTGACCCAGCCTCAGTAGGGATAGAAATGGCTTGGCTAGGGGCATCTGGGAGATGGGGTGGCCAGGTGAGGGATGAGAATGTTGTCAGCGGAGCCTGGCCTCGAAGACCATCTGAGGGGTGGAGATGGAGCAGAATGTGGTCTGACCCAGCCATGTCCACTTAGCAGCCATGTGACCTGGTCCAGACCATCCCTGCTAGGACCTCAGAATGAGTGGCAGTGTGAGTTTGGGGGTGGGCACACCTAAGGCCCCTGTACTTGTTGGGCTATGTGTGAGACAAGCAGTGCCCAGCCTTGGTCCATGCTGTACGTTGGTTCTGGCTTAGCATCAGCTGGCCCAGAGTTTCAGGATGTCCTCATGGTGGGGCTCTGACCCACAGAGCCTAGGATGACTGGGAGAGGGGCTCCCTGTGAGTTAGTACCAAAGAACTGATTAGAGTGGAACCTGTCTCATCCCCCTTCCCTGCACCCCCATGCCTAGTCAGCTCTGAGCCTCTCCTGGTGTCAATGGGACATTCATTTTGGAGGGAACAGGGTGTGGGTAGGTGGAGGTTGACTTCAGCTTCAGCACCCAAATTCTGTCTTCCAGCATTAGAGTTGGCTTACCCTTCTGGTGCCTTTGCACCAGAAAATTTGAAATTTCTCCCCCTTCCTCCCTTATATGGTTGACTGAGCAGAACTGGGGTTCATGGCCATCTCGCCTCAGGCAGACACCTCACTTCTCTGGCCCTTGGTGTCCTCCTCTGCAGATGTGAGATGCCTTGGCTCTTGTAGCTCTGATACAGGGGCTGGGGCCACCCTCCTCCCAGCCCTCCTGCTCCAGGATGGACAGTTGGAGGGAAGGACAGAGGGGCTCAGGCAGAGTCTGCACTCATGTTTATTATAGATTAGTGACGACGAGGTTCCTGAGATGGCTTCACTCCTCATTGTGCATTTTTTGCTGAGAAAGAAATAAGAGGTGTGAGGAAGCAGCTGGCAGGAGGGAGGAGGGTGTGAGGAGGAAGCCCTAGAGCTTTCAAGGGCCTAAGGGAGTTCCCCTGAGAGGGAGCAGTTAGGACATCAGGGATTGGGGGGTCACATGTCAGCGGTCCTTGTGGTTTAGGGGCTTGGGACTGGGACTCTCTGCGGAGGATCCAGTCTATAGAGGATCTCAGATTATAGGTGCCGTGAAACCCTCAGGGCTGTCCAAATACAGGGTGAGGAGTGTCTACTCTGAGGAGTACTCATGTCGGGGGGCATGCTGGTATGGGGGCGACAAGCCAAACCCGGGGGAGGGGCCCACCTTGGCGCTGATGTCACAGCTCTTGGCCCGCAGCTTGTTGACCTGGGACTCAGCGATATCTGCCCGCTCCTCTGCCTCATCCAGCTCGTGCTGCACCTTGCGGAACTTGGAAAGGTTGGTGTTGGCCTGTTCCTCCTGTGGGGATAGGGTGGAGGGATGAGGTGAGAGGGCTGTGGGGGGATTCCCAGCCTCCTAGCCTGGCTCCCTGTCCCTGAGCAAGGGGCTCAGTGCTCTCACCCCTCACCTGTATCCCTACTGGTAGCCTGCTCTTGGCTTGGCTCCCTCTTCAGACTTTTCTAGCACTCATACTCCCTCATGGCCACCTACTGCCCAAGACAAATCCCATGCTGCCTGGTCTGGCCCCCCTCAGAATCCAGCTTCACTGTACGTATCCAACCGTGAGTCAGATAGACACTCCCCCACCCCAAGTATTCCTGCACAGGTATGCTCATTAATACCTCACATCAACTCTTTCTGCCTACCTAGAATGACTCCCCACTTCTCTATGCCTAGTCAGGCCCCCTTCCAGGCCCAATCCCAAAGCCTCCTTCCCAGGAAGTCTCCCTGTCTCCTTTCCTTCCTTCAGCAGTGGCTGCCTCCCATGTTCTGGCATTAGTGTCTACATTGCCTTCTCTTGGACTTATAGGTGTATGGATTATAAACTCTTTGTTGGCAGGGGCTAGGTCTGAGACAGCATTGATTTTGTTAACTCATAGTGCCTGACAAAGCGCTGAGCACATGGGACATGAATATCAAATGTTTGAGAGTTAAGGTAAACAACAAACACTTTGTCCAGGCCCCATGCTGTGGCAGACACTCATTGATGCTCAAATATAGTAGGTGTGTTGATGAAAGAATAGAGAAAACAATGAACCCGCTGCCTCCTCAGCCTGGCGCTTGTAGGCCTTGACCTTCAGCTGCAGCTTGTCCACCAGATCTTGTAGCCGAAGCACGTTCTTCTTGTCCTCCTCCATCTAGGAGAGGGATAAGGGGGGAAGAGAAGCCAGTTTTTGGGGAGAAGCAAATGCAATCACCTTTCATCCCCTCATCTTCTCCCCTTGCCTTAGCTGCCTCTCTTTCCAATATCCTAGCCCAAAGAGCTGGTAGGGAAGTTTCCATCTCTGACTCCACTTGTAGGACAAAGGGGCAAGGTAAGGTTCTTAGGGATCTAAAAAGCAATGAGGGCTATGGTTCTAAAGCTGGAAGGAGTGGGTGAGTGGGGCTCACAACTAAACAAAAATTCCCTGATGTGATAATATGAAGTATTAGGTCTGTTCTAGCTCCAACTTGGAGGATAAGGGTAGCAACATAAATGCTCTTGGCCAGTGGTTCCAGGGTGGTAAGGGTAATAATGAGGAACACAGAAAGAAGAGGGTATTATCATAGCCCAGAGTCTCATTCTAATAAATTGTACTGGGCCAAAATTCAGGCACCAGGGTCACTGACTCTGCTGTCACTTATCATTCCTGTCTCCGTATCATTTTATGTTCTGTTTCCTCTACTCGGATGCCATTCCCATTTTTGTCCATAATGCATCAGTGGTTCTACATCAGTATCTTGTTCTTGTGCCTCTGGTATCCATCTGCCAAATGGATCAATACTGTGTGTCCCCACTGTCTTTCCTTCCCACTTCCCAGGCACACTGTGAAAAATAACAGAGCAAAGGCAAAAGCTCTGAGTTATGGAGAGGTGTTAGAACATTCTTGGGACTTCTTTCTCTAAGGCCTTGCTATTTGTTGTAAAAATTCCATGGACAATCTCTGAGCTTTTTTTCATCCTCAACTCTTATCCCTAAAGTGCCAGATGATGTCCCCCCCTTTCAGGCCGGTGGAAGGTGGAACGTTTCATTGGATTACTCTGAAGCCTCGCTGGTAACATTTCAAGTTATTTAAAAACCTGGGGCAATGTTGGTTAAAAGAGCCTTCAGGAAATAGATTTTCCATTTGCTAGAAAATTCATGGACTCAAGCCAAATGACTCCACAGAATGTGAAAGAAAATTAATATAAAGACAGTTCTTAAGGAGCAAGTGCCAGTAGGGTTGGGTGGCATTCCTAGAAGGGGGTTGGAGTTTCCTTCTCCAGAACATGGTCTGTGTGTGGGCCAGGAGATGGTGCTAGAAAAGACATTCTCACTGTCTACTCCTGATTGGGCCCTGATCCAGAGCACCTGCCCTGCCCGCACCTGATAGGTCAGCTCCTTGATGCGGCATTCACTCTTCCTCATGCCCTTGACTGACTCAACATTGCACTTCTGCTCAGCCTCCAGCTCGTTCTCCAGCTCCCGCACCCGGGCCTCCAGCTTCTGCAGCTGCTTCTTGCCGCCCTTGAGGGCGATTTGCTCGGCTTCGTCCAGTCGGTGCTGCAGGTCCTTAATAGTCTGCTCCATGTTCTTCTTCATGTGCTCCAGGTGGGCGCTTGTGTCCTGCTCCTTCTTCAGCTCTTCTGCCATCATAGCAGCCTGTGGGCCAGGAAGGAGGGGTAATTGAACACAGGCTGCAGGGCCTCTTCTCCTTCAAGGACCATCTCTTTCCCCTCCTGGTGTTTGCTCCCTAAGGCCCTCAAACCCATACTACAGAGTCAAGTTGGATCCAGGGCCCTTGTCTGTCTTTCTGGGAGACAGGAAGGTGAGCAGCCACTCACATCTGTGAAGGCCTTCTTGGCCTTCTCCTCAGCATTCCTGCACTCCTGTACTGCTTCCTCCACTTCTGACTGGAGCTGGGTCAGATCTGACTCCATCTTCTTCTTCTGGTTGATGAGGCTGGTGTTCTAGATATGGGTAGAGAAAACTATTGAATATATGCTTTGTTACCTGATCCCACACCTTCATCCAGAGAGCATTAAAAAAAGTGGCTATTTTGTTTTTAGGCATTCCTGGATGGCGAGAATGGTTAAGCACTTGGTTGTTAACTGAAAGGTTGGTGGTTTGAGTTCATCCACAGGCACCTTGGAAGAAAGACCTGGTGAACTACTTCCCAAAAACCAGCCATTGAAAACCCTATGGAGCACAGTTCTACTCTGACACACAAGTTGGAATTGATTTGACAGCAACTGGTTTGGTTTGGTATTTCGTTTTTAACAACAAGCTATGCTTTTAGGATATTCTTTGTTTTGCACTTCTTTTCCTTTTTCTATGAAAATGGGTATGTTCTAGACATTGCAGCTAAAATGACTCAGCTTTGAAGAAAGATTCCAAACAGCAAAGTTCTACTCCTGAACTCTTTAGTAACACGTTTATATGGGAACTATTCCGAGGAAAATGGAAACAACTTTTTTTTACTAGGGCAATATTCTTGAAATGATTGTAGTTGTAGAAAGAATGTATGTTGGGTAAGGAAGAGGGGACCAGGTCAGTGGATGGTGTCATCCCACATATATGTGCTAGATTATGGAACAAAACTCCACAGGGTAGTGCAATAGTTGGTCACAAAAACCCATTGCAGAATATAATTGAAGGGACCATGGTCTCAGGGAACATCTAGCTCAACTGGCATAACACAGTTTATAAAGACAATGTTCTACATTCTACCTTGGTGAATAGCATCTGGGGTCTTAAAAGCCTGTGAGCAGCCATCTAAGATACTCCACTGGTCTCATCCCTTTGGGAGCAAGGGAGAATGAAGAGAACAGGATACAAAGAAAAGATTAGTCCAAAGGACTAATGGACCACAGCTACCAAGGCCTCCACCAGACTAAGTCCAGTATAGCTAGATGGTGCCCGGCTACCACCACTGACTGCTCTGAACAGGATCACAACAGAGGGTTCTGGACAGAGCTGGAGAAGGACGTAGAACAAAATTCTAACACACACAAAAAAGACCAGATTTACCAGCCTGAAAGAGTTTGGAGAAACCCTGAAAGTATGGCCCCCAGACACCTTTTTAACTCAGTGGTGAAGTCACTTCCGAAGTTTGCAGTTCAGCCGGGGATTGAACAGGCCCCATAAAACAAGATGGGACTAATGAGGCACAGCAGTCCAGAGACAAGAACTAGAAGGCAGAAGAGGACAGGAAAGCTGGTGATAGGGAACGCAAGGTTGAGTAAGGACAGTGTTGACATGTAGTGGGGTTGTTAACCATTGTCATAGGGCAACATATGTACTAACTGTTTAATGAGAAACTATTTTGTTCTGTAAACCTTCATCTAAAGAGAATAGCAGCACAACTGGAAGAACGTAATC